AGGAAATTCCTCCTCCTCCTGATGTTTTATTTCCTTCCAATTTGGACGCTACAGTTGCTCTCACAAAAGATGTTCTGAGTCCAGTCTGTACGGATGAAATGTGCAGCTTTGAACTCCCAACACTTTCTACGTTCTAGAATCCTTTCAGGTTGGGTGGTTTTTCTATCGGTTGGAATCCCATTGTCTGGGGGCTTTTCCGTCTGGGATGGAAAAACTGTTTTGGGTTCATTGCCTCTGTCTTTGGTCCCCCAGCCCCCCACCTCCACCTGTTTCATTCATCTATCTGGTTTTCTTGTGTGTCCCAGGACACCCTCAGTAGAGGCAGCCAGATGGGCCGATGGCAGAATCTTGTATGGACAGCTTTCTCTGCCAGTCCTCCATCTTGCCTACCCCACCCCTCACCCACCCTCCGTCCCTTCAGTAGTCGCTTCAAATCTTAGCATTTCCATGGCACTTTCCACAGGAAGCAAGTGCTTTATGTAAGAATGCAGGCTAGGGAGACTTTTTACAGGAGACCAAAAAAAAAAAAAAAAGACTTATAAGAGAAAGAGCCCAGAGTATTTTTGGGGAAAAAAAATATATTTTTATGTTGAAACAATTTAAAAATCCTAACATGGCCATCAGACATAAAGCGCTCTGTGTGGCTCCTATTGTAAAAGATTTTACAAAAACAGGGTCTGAGGTAGCTTTTCCCCCTTTTCCTTCAGTTTCTCAGAAGGCGGTAAGGAAAAGTCAAGTTGCAAAGGGACCGGTTCTATGGATTAGCAGCCAGGGAACAGTTCTGCAGCTGACAAGGAAAATTCCAGATCCTTGGGTTTGAAAAGCATCTGCCAGTGTGTATCCACCTTACTGGCCAGCAGGAAGGCAGTTGACGTGCACTCTGACACCAAGGACCATTTCTAAAACCAGGCACTATCACTGTCATTGTCTGTTTCCCACGACCACCATTGGCTTGTCCTTGCAAAGCTGACTTCAGCAGCCCCAAGATCTAATTTGGTTCCAGCATAGAAATGAACTTGGAAGGACAGCTTTCACCCTGAAGGGGAATCACAGAAGTGCAATGTCACCAGTCATTCTTGCCAGCTTTATCATTTCTCCGGCAAGCAAGAAAGAGAAAGGTTTTTCTTAAATAATAGATCTTTTTGCTGGTTTTTTTAAAAACTTAAATGCAACTTTGTGTTTCGAGAGGAGTTTCCTTTCATTGGATCAGGTGACCTGTAATAACACGGCACTGACCTAGTTTTCATATTAGCCATGAGGAAGGAAAGTTCTGGAAGGTAGAGCCTGTTCTCTCTTATGGGCATAAAAAGGGCTGGGTGAATGACCAGGCCTCTGGGGACTGGCGGTGGGAGGATGTCAGCAGGGTGTGTGTTCCAGCAGTGAGACTTGGTGATAATCAGAGAGCAGTGGCCATCTGTAGAGCCTGAAACCAGTCATCAGGGGAAGGAAGAGAACTTCCAGTAGACCGTGGAATGTGCCGGAAACAGCTTCAGGTCCCTGAGTGGATTGATTGCTCTCGGCTAATTAATTGGGCTCCACTTGGGAGCTCTGGTGACATAGTGTGTAAGGCATTTGACTGCTAACCAGAAGGCTGGAAGTTCAAACCCACCAGCCACTCCTCAGAAGGAAGGTTGGGCAATCTACTTCCATAGAGATACTGCTTTTGAAACCCAAGGAGGGGTTGCTTTGAGTTGGAATCGACTTGACGGCAGTGAGTTTGGGTTTTGTTTTTGTTTTTTACGTATTTCAGTTATTCAAGCCCCATCTGTGCTTAGAAAGCCAAGAAGTGCTGTGCTTGCAGATTGAGTGTTTTGGTCAGGCTCTGGTACCTGACCACTTAGCCAAGAAAGAAGGCCACTCTTGTCAGAAGTCAAACTCCGAGGTTTGAAGATAGCAGGCACCCCTGGGCAAGAAAGGTGGGGATTCTTGATTCATTGTGGGCTACACTCTGTGACGGCCCTCATGAGCCCCAGCTTCCCGCCGCCCCAGATGGAGATGTGCTCTCCTGCCTTGTCAGCTGTGGAGAGCAGCCACTGTCAGGACATGCCTGCCGTGTGCTGTTGGACCATGATGGCAGATGTGGGCTTAGGGAGTCGTGAGACAGTCTTCACTCAACAGTAGGTAGCCAGGGTCTCGCCCAAGTGTTGACTTGAGCCTCTTTGATAACTCTAACTACGTCCAGAATCTTTACATTGACGCTAAGGGCTGCAAGGGCAGGGGCACAATCTCTTTGCATAGCAGTGTGCCCCCTACAGGCAAAGGAGGACCATGCCCACAGCTAGCTTCCCCAGCTGCCATCTGAGAACTTGCCTGCTGCAGGCCACAAGGGGGACCGAGCTCAAGAATGTGGCCAGTGAGTGTCCTACAGATCCATCCCCACAGTCAGAAAACCCAACTCAGTCCACCACTTTTGACTGAGTACCCGCATCCAATAGATTCATCTTTGTGGTCAGGGTAGCCCATCCGTGATGTCATTGCTTGACGTTGTTTACAGTCCTGAAATGCTGTCACATTTATGTGTTAGTGACCAAATCAGACACTGATCCTGAAAGCAGATCCAACACAACGATTCTCCACTGAGTCTCCAGTTGGGTGTGAAGTGACAGAGCTATGCCTAGCACACACCCAGGAAAGGGTACTGCCCCATGGGGTACCTGCAGGGCCAGGCCGCACAAGGTGGCCCACACTTGTTCCTGTGAAGCGCTGCTGAACTGGAATTTCGTCATCTTAAAATCAGATCAGAGCCGAGTGAAGTGCACTTTTGTCAGGTGGAAGGGTCTGCTTTGTTCCCTGTTTCTCTTTTTCAACCTTTCATTTTGCCTCCCCCTGCCTCCGCCCCATTGTTTTTCATCGAATGCAGAACTGTTCTCTCTGCCACTCGCTGAAGTTTTGAATTCTGGCTTCTGCAGTTTTTATTGTCTGTGTCGGACGTGCAGCCAGGCCCAGTTCTCCTCACCGTTTTCCAGACTCCGTTCAGTCCACGCCGACCCCACTGGCATCCACCCTCCCGCCCCACTCTCCCTCACAGTCTTTGAGAAAAGAATCACCTATGTGTTATAGTGCATTTGTTTCCAGAGAGAATCAACAGATCATATTCAGTGTCTTGAATAAATTGCTCTATTTTGATATGAGAGAACTCTGTGCGTCTGCTTTCCTCGTTTGTCAGTGAATGCACGTGTCCGTGTGGACACCCGGGAGGGCAGGCAGAACTCTGTTCTCAAGAGAAGACAGTTGGCTGGCTAAGTTAAACAGCACGTTTCCTTTTTTGTTAACTTTATTTCAAGCTGGCTGTTAGAACAATTTAAAGCAAATACATTTTCTCTTTTCGATGAGTTGTTTCTCAGAGTTTGAGTTCAAGGCTCAAGCTTTGAGGTGTTGGAAGAACCGAAAGTGGATGAAAATAGTTGTCTTTCAACATCGGCCTCCAGACTGACAGGGAGCAAACATTGAGTGACATATGCTTCATGTCCCTTGAATTAAGTGAAGTGGTCCCTGGGTGGTAAGAGACGGTTAGCAAATTAACCAAAAAGTTGGATGTTTGAGGCTTTTCAGAAGGCCTGGTGACCTGCTTCTGAAAAGTCAGCCTTTGGAAACCCCGTGGAGCCCAGTTGCACTCTTGACAGGAGGGCTGGCCAAGAGTCAGAATCAACTCGCCCACCTCTGGTCTGTTTATTTTGTTGCATAGTTTACTGGGCCTCGCTCTCCTGTTAGGCAGAGGCAGTGGATTCTGAGGGACCATGGGGTGGGCTGCCCAGCAGAGGGCCTTGCTCAGAGTCTAAGATGTCACCAGATGAGGGAGTCACTGTTACAGCTCATTTCCCTCCAGTCTTTCCTGGTTCCCACATCACAGTGAAGGGGAGGGCGGGGGACCATCCCAGCCTCTTCCAGGTTCCCCACCACAAGGGATGACTGCCTGGAGAGTGTCGCAAGTCCCCATGGCCTTCCCCTGTGTAAGGACCTCTGGCTCAGAATCCTGGAGGACATGCAGGTCTTGAATTGGTGATTGAAGGCTAAACGTTAAGTCAACAACTGTCACTTTGAGAAAAAGTGTGTCCTATCTTCTGGCGTGGTCTACCATGTTGGCTTTTTTTTTTTTTTTTTTTTTTTTTGTCAAAAAATTAACACCTGCCAAGCTGATGGAGCACGTATGCATGCAGATAGTAGATTGGGGTGACATCCTGAGCATGGTGAATCCCAATACCGAAGCCTCTGGGGAGGGCCTGGTGGCAGACACACAAGCCGGTGGCAGAGGCCTGTGGTGAAAATGCACAAGTGGCCATGGCCACAGACAGTGCTGTGGCCTCAGCTGCCATGCCAGTGACATGAGCAGTTGTAGAACTGGGACCACGATGGCCCAGATCTTTAGAGCTTTTGTCATCTTTACGCCAGTGATGGTATAAATGTGTGCCTTTTGTCCACTGAGATGCCAGCTTGATTTATTTTGGGGACCTATGTTTTAACTTGGTGGCACTGCTCCCATAAAGATGGTTGTGTGCCATCAAGACCATTCTGATTCATAGTGATCCTATAAGACAGAGTAGAACTACCCTATAGTATTTCCAGGGCTGTCATCTTTACAGAAGCAAAACCCAAACCACACCCACTGCCAGTGAGTCAGTTCCAACTCATAGTGACCCTATAGGACACAGTGGAGCTGCCCCATGAGGTTTCCTAAGCTGTAATCTTACAGGAGCAGATGGCCACGTCTTTTCTCCTGCAGAGCTGTTAGGTAGGTTTGGTTTGCAGCCAAGTGCTTAACCGTTGTGCCACCAGTACTCTTCTTTGTAAACATGACAGCCTAGAAAACCCTAGAGGGCAGTTCTCTGACACGTGGGGTCGCTAGGAGTCAGAACTGACTCATCTGCAGTGGATGGCTGCTATTGGTTCCTACTGATGGAAAAACCTCTGAGAAACGTGTGAAAACAGGTGGGAGACAGAAGGAGAACCTGGGTTCCCTTAAGCTTCACACACACACACACACACAGCATTTGGCTGATGACCTGGGCCTTTTTCTCCCAAGTGTCTTCCTACAGCAAGGTAAACAAGCTGGAGGATGGGGGGTCAGCCTGGAAACAGCATGAGGAGGGCATGGGACGTGTGTGGGGAGAGGATGGAAGAGACGTTACATATGCTACTAACCTCCGCAGACACGTCAAGTGAATGTTCTGGAAAATGGAAGTTTGGGCTAGACAAAATAAACCTCGTGCAACAGGCAATTAAGAAACTCCACGGGAAGTGCTGGGTCTCCAGGTTTTACCTCTTAACAACCATCCCTACACTATTGTAGATGGTGGTGATGTCTTACTCCAAAACAAGGCAAACAAGTACACAATAAAAAGTTGCTTATTGTATGATGAATAAAAGTAAACAGACTGGCCAATGAATTAAAATCAAATGGCAACAGTCATCTTTCCGCCTGGACCCCACCATGCCTGACTGTGCGCCTACAGACCCCTCCTCGCTCCCACTGTTGAAACCCACCCAGACGCCTGGCTCAAATCCCATCTCCCTCTCGCCTCTTTAAGATCTCTGTCCTGTAGGTCTCCCTCTGTCACCGTCACTTTCCTCCCCTGGGTGTCCAGGTGGACTCTGTGTCTGCCACCTTTAAAGGAAGACAACACAGGGTTGAGAATCCAGCTTCCCTGGCACGGCCAGCCTCCACAGGAACATCCCTTAAGACAGTGGAGTCTCATTACCTTACGTGTACATCCGTTCGCTCAGTTATCACCTTCTTGTTCCCTAGGTTGCCTGGATGCACCACATTGCCAAGAACCATGTTATATCCCCAGTGCCTGGCAAGTAACCATGAGAAGGCCTCCCTCACCCTCTCCCTCTCAGCTCACCCTACCAAGGCACCGTTCCATAGGGTGTAGCTGGTGCTCCTGATGCCCCATCCAGCCGAAGTCGTTTTAACTAGATAATCAGACAATTCTTAATTGCAAGCTCCAGGCCCTGAGTGGCTAATGTAAGCCAGAAGATGGCACCAGGGCACTCTGAGCAATTCAGAAAGACAAAGAACCAGACAGGGTGGCCAAGCAAACAGGAGCAATGGTCCACTACAGGCCATAGGACTGGTCCTGTGTAACCATGCATGCCCTGATACTGGACACGCAGACTACCTCCCAGACAGGCCATGGTCAGGTCAGCCCCTAACCAAAAGCCCATCTCTGCAGCCCTAGCCTCACTGGCATTAGCTTCTAGCTCACAGACTTAGAAGACATGTCTTGTTGGCTCTGCCAAGTCATGTGCTTGTACTCTAGCTGCAAGGGAAGCGGCACAAGGGAGTAGCTACCATCTCTACTTCTACAGGTAGTGGAGGGCTGTGCCCTAGCAGGTGGGGGGGTTGTCAATGAGTTGATTCCAACGCGAAGCGACCCCAAGTGAGAGAGTACTGGCCCCATAGGGTTTTGTAGGCTGTAATCTATGGAAGCAGACTACTAGGTCTTTCTCCTGTGAAGCCGGTGAGTGGGTTTTCAGTTAGCAGCTGCAAGCACATTGTACCGCCAGGGCTCCTTTATCAGGTGGGGAGACCCTTCAAATACAGGAGGGACTTCTGGTGCTGAGGGCAAATACATTGTCCTGCTGAGACAGAGGGGAAATGCCCCCTTGAGAAGCTGAAATCCATAGATGTGTCCATGGAAACTGCTCACCCAGTGGCTCCTTGGGAGAAAAGACCTGCCAATCTGCTCCAGTGAAGATGACAGCCTAGGAAACTCTATAGGGCAGTTGTATTCTGTCACACAGGGCCACTATGAGTCAGAATCAACTGGACAGCACACAACAACATAACATGCCCCGTCTGGAGTCCCAGGGTGGTGCTGATGGTTAAGGTGCTCAACTGCTGACCAAAAGGTTGGAGGTTCCAGTCCATCAGAAGGAAGGCCTGGAGATGTGCTTCCAAAAAATCGGCCATTAGAAATCCTATGGAACACAGTTCTGCTGTGACACACGGGGTTACCATGAGTCAGGGTTGACTCCACGCCAACTGCTAAGCCCCCTCTCCAGCACCTACCTGGCATGGGAAGAACACTGGTCCTGGGTCTCACGGCCACTTTACATCATCCACACTTACTCCAGAGTGCCTGCTGGAGAAGTAGTGCAGACAAGAAGCCAAGTCGGCTGGGAGCTCAGGGGTAACTTTATTTGACTACTGTTAAAGGAGTTGGATCTGGCAGCCAGATGGCAGCCAGCCTCAGAAGAACTAATGGCTAAGAACAGTCCAGAGGAGGGGCAGGTGGTTGGTCCAGAAGGGATTCTCCTTCCATTCCCAAGAGCACCCACATGGCTGCTGCTCCTTCCACTAAGAGGATCCTGGGGTGTTCACTGGAGGAACGAAAGGAAGGGGAAGAACACTGTAAGGAGTGATGCTGCAGAGTCAGGACTTTGCGGCCTGAGCCCCCTCATGGGTCTCCCTGGGCTCCCGGAGTCAAGTCAGCCTCATTTCTGTGGTGGGCCCCACTTGTAGTATGGATTTCAATTGTGCTGGCATCCGAACCTGGGAAGGAAGAGAGGGAGTTGTGATGGCATCTATGCTCTGAGAAGCTCCGTGAGCTTTAGAAAATGCCCCTGGGGCTCAGCACTGCGTTTTGGACCCCCACCTTTGGTCAAAGCCCTAGCCTGCGTGCATGCAGTCTGTAAACAAGGCTACATCATCTGTCACTCACATTTGACTAAAGCATTCTCAAGGATGAGGCAGACCCTATAGAATCGTTTGAGGCAATTGGTCTAGGGTTCTGGGTCCATCTTCAGCCTCCCAGTATCCCTTGTTCAAGTCTCTGGGCTAGGCAGCTGAGCATCTCAGAGACATAAGCCACAGGGATGCTGCAGGCCATGACAACTGTAACTTGGGAAGACAATGTAGGAGCACAAGGCATAGGAACATGGTGACCACAGTGCAACTCCCCAGGAGGCAGTAACTGGCAACAGGCACCCCATGGTTGCCTGGTCACCCATATTCAATGCCAGGATGTGCCCCAAGGGAAAGAGGCCCCCACGCTCTGTAAAACGATAACCCTTCCACATATTTTCCTGGATGAGGCCACATGGTTTTAGCAAGCTGGCCCCTCTTGCAGTCCCATGATGCCACCCATGAAGAATGCTCCCACCTTTCCAGCCCCATGTAAATACACATTGAACAAAGTCCTGGCCTGACAAATCTACCTAAATGAACTAGTGTGTTTGGTCATCAACTGGGACTCTAGATGCAATGAGAAAGTGATGGTTGATAAGCTCCTTCAAAGCCAGACACATGACCAATCACGTATGTGTTGTTGCTGGATGCCATCAAGGCAATTCTGACTCCTAGCGACTCAATGTGCCAGACCAGGAGTGCCCCCATAGGGTTCTTAGCCTGT